GTATATATATCATATGTCAAATAATTTTAATTTCATGCTCTTATTAATAAAAATTGATTCACAATTAATTTTATTAGAACTTTTACAACATGAAAAGAAAGACATACAGATGAGAGCATTTTATTAACATATTTCTGAAGGAGAAACTTTAACACAGACATACAGAGAACCTTAGAGATCCTATAATTTGATCAAAAACATGCAGTAATGACAGGATTGCAGCTCAAGATATTAAAGCTAAAACAAAGAAAAGCAAAAATCCAAGTCATTTACATTTAAGGTAACAGACGACAGCATTGACTATTTTAAACTTAGAGCACTATTGATGCAGCTGCATCATTGTCCTTGGGGTACAATCCTCATGGAATGTGACACTGCGAAGCATGAATAGCAGAATATAAAAGAAGTCAAAAATACTAAAGGTTAACAATCTATGCACAGGTTCACACTGTTAAAACTCATCAACCATATTATTTTCATTGGAGGAAATCACGGCTTATTTGAGTACAAGCAAAGCAGAGAAATATAACCCAAAATGTGCAAAACATGAACATTTTTATTAATTAAATAACAGAATGTATCTCCTGATGTTTGTGAAGTGTTTGGGGTTTAACTGAGTGAAACCAAATAAAACACCAAACAACTAAAACTAGTTGAATCAGAAATACAAGTGGATGTATGTTACTCTGTCACCAAACAGGAGTTCTCTGAGGCACAGGAAGTTTCTAATCCGGCTAAAACTGAAAAACAAAGAGAAGAATGCAACTGTTTTTCTTCTTGGCAACAAACTGAAGCGTTAAACCGAAAAAGCCATTTAAAGATGTTCGAAGATTTGAGCTTAATTGAGTCCTGATGGATTTTCATTTCACTTGTTGATTTAACATTAAGTGAAGTTTACCGTTTCTTTTACCATCAGCTACATAGAGAAATCTTCACCGCTCATTTGAGATGTGATTGTGAGTCGGTTCGACCTGCTGCGGATGTTGCCGCTGTGGTTGCTTCCCCAGCTTCTCAGCATCTTCTTCAGATGGGTTTTAAATTTCACGCCCATGAACACATAAAACACCGGGTTCAGGCAGCAGTGGGAGAAGGCGAGGAGCCGGCTGACGTAGAAGGCGTAATTCAAATTGGTTTCAGTTTGGCAGAGTTCTGATATCGACGTGGATTCCAAGGGCTGCTGGGACACCAAAGACAACGATTTGAGAAATATCACCACGTTGTATGGTCCCCACCCTACAAAGAAGACAATCATGAGAGTGAAAATGAGCTTGACAGTTTTGTTCCTTCTCCTTTGGGCTGAGGGGTGCAGCAACCTGAACAGGATCTGAGAGTAGCAGAAAACGAACACCACTGAAATCATGATGAAAAGCAGGTTTTGTTGGTAGGTTCCCCAGATTCGTCCTTGCTTACTGTCAAATCCACAGTATGACTCGTCTGCTTTAATAAAGTAGAAGGCTGGACTGCCTGCCAGGATGCTAACAACCCAAATAATCACAGTCGCTACGACGCTGGAGAGACCTGAGGCGGACACGATGTCGGACAGAGGATTCATCACAGCTACGTAGCGATGGATTGTCATGAGGATGAGGAGGAAACCACTGCTGTAGAAGCCAACGTAGAAAATGAAGTTTATCATTACGCAGACGGGCTGTCCCAGATTCCAGATACCAAGCATGTGGTAGTTGGCCCAGAAGGGCAGCCCCGCGGTGAAGAAGAGATCCGATACAGCCAGGTTCAGGATGAAAGTGTTGGTGAGGGATTTCAGATTCTCATACTTGAACAGAGTAACAAGAACTAGGATGTTGCCAAACAGACTGAGGATTATCACAATGGAGAAAAACAAGGGAGTGAAGGTCGCTCCAAAGTGAATCACGCTCGTTTGGTCGCATTCATCACTGTCGTTTTTGTCAGTGTAGTCAAAGGTTGTATTGTCCATGTAGTAATCACTTGTGGCCATTTTCTTCCAGTAAAAACAGTGTCTCTGTATGGTAAAAAATAAAAAATAAATGAATGAATACAAATTAATTATTCTTGCATTCTTAGCAAGGTTTGTGAAAAACCAAAGCAAAGAAGGCAGGCATTGTAGATTTTAAACAATCTAGCAAGTGAAATCAATCTACATTAATATTATAGGCTACTTATTAAAATAGAACTTATGAACTGTATCAACTTTTAGTAATGTCAAAGAGAAAACTTAACTCTATCCAAATTATTAGGAATAATAAAAAAGAAATCAAAAATGTCCTGTACCTGCAGGTTTCCTGAACTCCTGGGCGTTAGTTACAGCAATAACAACTGATTGTGGGGGTGCTACCTAAATAAATAAAAAAGCAGAATAGAAACAAAACACCAATTTCATTTCATTGGATATTATGGATTGGTTTCAGGTGTGCATGCATGCTAACTTGTAAAAAAAAGTGTCTTGTTTCACTTAGGCTACTCGTTTCCTAAATCGAGCATGCCTTGTTTTGATCAGTGGGATGTGAGCCTTAGGTGAGAGGCATGGTACACCCTGCACACGTTAATAGTTTGTAGGACAATGCAAACACACAACCCATGCATCTTAAAAAAATCATGATGACCTAAATTGCACGTTTTGGGACTGTGGAAGAAAAGCGGAGTACTGGGTTAACAAAACCTACAATGGCTGTTGCACTGCCAATATCCAAATGTAAACTGGAGGGCTCTCTCACTTTAACTTAACCTCAAATTACTCTCAGTGAGTGACACAAAAAATAGATAAATTACTTTTGCTTCAATTTCACAATGTCTTTGATTTCATATACAGGCATTTAATGCAAGACAAAGTGTTATTGCTTATTTAATGTTTCATAAACTGTAGACATACACTTTAAATAACTTTGGTAACTCCTACAATCATCTATCTATCTATATCTATCTGAGTTTGTTTATTTCTCACGTGTCTCTCAGGCAAACTAGTCTATCTCTGAGCTCGCTGATTGGACAACAAGACTGTCAATCATCCCCCCACAGTCAGCCTCCAACGCTAGCAAGTTTTTGCTGTTTCATCCAAAAACCGGACACTCCAGACCATTTTACCCAGCAAGTACGTGTATTGTACAGTTTTATGTGTAATGCTAATTTGAATTTTGCAATTTAAAGTCGGAATATAGTTATCGGTTATGATGTTTTTCTCAAAATTGGAACAGGAAATCCGTAGCTACTAGCCGGTGAGCAGCAGCAGGTGGATCCGCATGACGAGTCGATGTTTATGTTTCGCTGTGTTGAATTTAAACGCACCTGATACAAATATATCGGATTTAGACTGTATGTAAATTACGTTTCGACGACGTCATTGACAATGACGACGTGGTAAACAGTGACACGCTCTCGCCTGTCCTTGTTTACAGACATTTTTTAATGAACATGCATGATATCTTGACAAATCTTTGGTGTTTTTAGGTAATCTAAATGTCTTTTGAAGCTGTAGTCTTATGTAAATGTAAGTCGTTTACTAGAAAGGGTTTCACATCAACGCTGATATACATATTTTCAGCTTTGATACATTTTCAATGTTTTTGATTTCTTTGCACGTTAAGGTAGAGGGACATATGCACCATTGTTTTTGTTGCGTTTACCTTTTAATCACATAAAATAACCCGATTTTCTCCCTTTTTTTTTATCATTGTATGAAGAACTCCCTGTGTGTGCCACTCTTATCCCCCACAATGGCCTCCTCTTCATCAGTTGGAGACAAACAGCTGCACAGAATAATCAGAGATCTACATGGTAATTAAGTTGTTTACACATATAATTGAATCAGCCACTTCATATTAAGCAGGGTCCTCCTTTTACCATTAAACAGCTCTGATTAGTCAGCACAAACAAAGGTTATGGGGATGTCCTGGAGTGTCTAGAATTGGGACATTAGCTGTATTAATTGTGGGTTGTGTGGTGAAGTCATTTTCATGTGTAATTTAAAAAAAACTAGATAACTACTGCAATAACGTTTATATTAAAAACACATTTCATATCTAAGATGTAGGACTTCTTGCTGTTTTCTTGATGAAATCGCTATTGTTATTATATTTTAATGGCTTTTGCCCTTTCTGCGCACACAGTTGTACTAT